CACACCACGCACCACACACCACCACACACCATGCACCACCACACACCACGCATCATGCACCACCACACACCACACACCACGCACCACCACACACCAAACACCACGCACCACCACACACCACGCACCACACACCACCACACACCACGCTCCACCACACACCACGCACCACACACCACCACACACCACGCACCACGTACCACACCACGCACCACACACCACTCACACACCACCACCACCACACACCACACACCCACAACACCACGCCCACACCACCACCACACACCACGCACCATCACACACCACGCACCACCACACACCACACACACACTCCCACCACTCACGCACCACACACGCACCACACACAACTCACCACACACCCACTCACCACCACAACACCACACAACACCACGCACCACACCACCACCACACACCACGCACCACCACAACACCACAACACCACCACACACCACGCCCCCACCAACACCACCACACACCACGCCCACCACAAGCGCAACCACCCACAAACCACTCACCACCACACACCACCAAACACACGGCACTCCCCACCACAACACCACCAACACCACGCACCACAACGCAACCACCACACACCACCACACACCACGCACCCCAGCACACCACACACCACCACACCAACCTACCACCACGCACCACCAACACCACTCACCCCACACACCCACCACCACCGGACACACCACAGCACACCACACACCACGCACCATCACACACCAATCACCACCACTACACCACAAAAACACCCACCACCACACCACCACCACACACCACGCACCAATCACACACCACGCACCACCACACACACACACCACGCACCACACACCACCACACACCACGCACCACCACACACCACGCACCATCACACACACGCACCACCACACACCACACACCACGCACCACACACCACACACCACGCACCACCACACACCACACACCACCACCACCACGCACCATCACACACCACCACACACCACTCACCCACCACACACCACCAACACCACGCACCACACACACACCACCACCACACGCACCACAACGCACCCCCACACCCACACACCACCCCACCACACACCACACACACCCACCACCACAACCACACACCACCACACACCACAGCACCATCACACACCACCACACACCACGCACCACCACACACCACCACACACCACGCACCACCACACACCACCACACACCACGCACCACAACGCACCACCACACACCACCACACACCACGCTCCACCACACACCACACACCACCACACACCACGCCCCACCACACACCACCACACACCACGCACCACACACCACCACACACCACGCACCACCACACACCACACACCACGCACCACCACACACCACACACCACGCACCACCACACCCCATGTACCACCACGCACCACCACACACCACACACCACGCACCACCACACCCCATGTACCACCACGCACCACGCACCACCACACACCACGCACCACCACACACCACCACACACCACACACCACGCACCATCACACACCACGCACCACCACACACCACCACACACCACGCACCACCAGACCCCATGTACCACCACACACCACACACCACCACACACCACGCCCCACCACACACCACCACACACCACGCACCACAACGCACCACCACACACCACCACACACCATGCTCCACCACACACCACGCCCCACCACACACCACCACACACCACGCACCACAACGCACCACCACGCTCCACCACACACCACACACCACCACACACCACGCCCCACCACACACCACCACACACCACGCACCACACACCACCACACACCACGCACCACCACACACCACACACCACGCACCACCACACACCACACACCACGCACCACCACACCCCATGTACCACCACGCACCACGCACCACCACACACCACGCACCACCACACACCACCACACACCACACACCACGCACCACCACACACCACGCACCACCACACACCACCACACACCACGCACCACCACACCCCATGTACCACCACACACCACGCACCACGCACCACCACACACCACGCACCACCACACACCACCACACACCACACACCACGCACCACCACACACCACGCACCACCACACACCACCACACACCACACACCACGCACCACCACACACCACGCACCACCACACCCCATGTACCACCACACACCACGCACCACCACACACCACGCACCACCACACACCACCACACACCACACACCACGCACCACCACACACCACACACCACCACACACCACGCACCACCACACACCACACACCACCACACCACCCACCACACACCACCACCACCACACCACACACCACGCACCACTACACACCACGCACCACCACACACCACGCACCACTACACACCACGCACCACCACACACCACCACACACCATGTACCACTACACACCACGCACCACCACACACCACACACCACCACACACCACACACCACCACACCCCATGTACCACCACACACGTACCTCCAATGTAAGCTCAATCTTACACTGTATAAGGCTCGGCTTGTCCTATTAAATCCCAGCTCGAAGCAAAACGGCACCGGGCGAGTGAAGATGCCATCCTAATCCACTCATTCATCATCTCCTTCACTCACTGCCTCCTTCACTCGCTCATAATTATTATTATCAATCATTCACTCCCTCCTTCAATCAGTCATACTCTTATTATATCAGTCATTCTCTCCCTCATTCACTCCCTACTTCAATCACACATTCACTATCCTCATTCAATCACCAACTCATTCACTCCCTCACATTACTCTTACTCACTCCATCATTCGTTATCTTAGTTAATAATCCACTCACTAATTCACTCCCTTATTGTCTACATCATTCATTCACTCCCTCGTTCTAGAAATAACTCATTCACTCCCTCATGCGTTTTCTTCATTCGTTCACTCATTCACTGCTACCTTGTAACCTAAATCACTCATTACTACTCCTTCAATCACCCATTCAATCCCTCCCTCCCGTATTCTCAATCACTGACACCACCTCTCATTCACTCCATCATTCCCTCCCTCATCCCCCCACTCACCCACCACCTCTCATCCCCCCACTCACCACCACCTCTCATCCCCCCACTCACCCACCACCTCTCATCCCCCCACTCACCCACCACCTCTCATCCCCCCACTCACCCACCACCTCTCATCCCCCCACTCACCCACCACCTCTCATCCCCCCACTCACCCACCACCTCTCATCCCCCCACTCACCCACCACCTCTCATCCCCCCACTCACCCACCACCTCTCATTCCCCCCACTCACCCACCACCTCTCATCCCCCCACTCACCCACCACCTCTCATCCCCCACTCACCCACCACCTGTCATCCCCCACTCACCCACCACCTCTCATCCCCCACTCACCCACCACCTCTCATCCCCCACTCACCCACCACCTTCATCCCCCACTCACCCCCACCTCTCATCCCCCCACTCACCCACCACCTCTCATCCCCCCACTCACCCACCACCTCTCATCCCCCCACTCACCCACCACCTCTCATCCCCCCACTCACCCACCACCTCTCATCCCCCCACTCACCCACCACCTCTCATCCCCCCACTCACCCACCACCTCTCATCCCCCCACTCACCCACCACCTCTCATCCCCCCACTCACCCACCACCTCTCATCCCCCCACTCACCCACCACCTCTCATCCCCCCACTCACCCACCACCTCTCATCCCCCACTCACCCACCACCTCTCATCCCCCCACTCACCCACCACCTCTCATCCCCCCACTCACCACCACCTCTCATCCCCCCACTCACCACCACCTCTCATCCCCTCACTCACCACCACCTCTCATCCCCCCACTCACCACCACCTCTCATCCCCCCACTCACCCACCACCTCTCATCCCCCCACTCACCCACCACCTCTCATCCCCCCACTCACCCACCACCTCTCATCCCCCACTCACCCACCACCTCTCATCCCCCCACTCACCCACCACCTCTCATCCCCCCACTCCCCCACCACCTCTCAGCCCCCCACTCACCCACCACCTCTCCTCCCCCCACTCACCCACCACCTCTCATCCCCCCACTCACCCACCACCTCTCATCCCCCCACTCACCCACCACCTCTCATCCCCCCACTCACCACCACCTCTCATCCCCCCACTCACCACCACCTCTCATCCCCTCACTCACCACCACCTCTCATCCCCCACTCACCCACCACCTCTCATCCCCCCACTCACCACCACCTCTCATCCCCCCACTCACCCACCACCTCTCATCCCCCCACTCACCCACCACCTCTCATCCCCCCACTCACCCACCACCTCTCATCCCCCACTCACCCACCACCTCTCCATCCCCCCACTCACCCACCACCTCTCATCCCCCCACTCACCCACCACCTCTCATCCCCCCACTCACCCACCACCTCTCATCCCCCCACTCACCACCACCTCTCATCCCCCCACTCACCACCACCTCTCATCCCCTCACTCACCACCACCTCTCATCCCCCACTCACCCACCACCTCTCATCCCCCCACTCACCACCACCTCTCATCCCCCCACTCACCCACCACCTCTCATCCCCCCACTCACCCACCACCTCTCATCCCCCCGCTCACCCCCCACCTCTCACCCCCCCACTCCCCCACCACCTCTCATCCCCCCACTCACCCACCACCTCTCATCCCCCCACTCACCCACCACCACTCACCCACCACCACTCACCCACCACCACTCACCCACCACCTCTCATCCCCCCACTCACCCACCACCTCTCATCCCCCCACTCACCCACCACCACTCACCCACCACCACTCACCCACCACCTCTCATCCCCCCACTCACCCACCACCTCTCATCCCCCCACTCACCCACCACCTCTCATCCCCCCACTCACCCACCACCTCTCATCCCCCCACTCACCCACCACCTCTCATCCCCCCACTCACCCAGGGCTCTACAGCCACGGGAGTCGTCGCTGATGGTCGCTGCCGCTGCTTCGTTGTCCACCGAGCGCCGGGCTCCTGCTGCTGTTGGTGTTGTTGCTGTTGGTGTTGTTGGTGGTGGAGCCGGGCTGCTGCTGTTGCTGCTGCTGTTGTTGTTGTTGCTGGTGGAGCCGGGGAGACAAGACGGTGGCGCTGGCTCGCAGCGTGCGGTGGGTGAGTGGTGTGTGGGTGAGGAGGAGTCGCGGCAGCAGTTGTTGTTGCTGCTACAGGAAGAAGGCTCGGCCACCACCACCACCACAACCACCACCACCACAGCCACCACCGTCACCGTCACCACCGTCACCAGCACGCCGCGGCGAGCCGCCCGGAAGCGCGGGACGAGCCGGGCTCGACTGCCGCGAAGACCCGGAGCGGAGCCACTCCACTCCGACACTCCACTCCACTACAAAACTCCACTACAATACTACTACTACAATACTATAATACTACTACTGCAATACTACTATAATACTACCACTACAATACTATAATACTACTACTACAATACTACTACAATACTACCACTACAATACTATAATACTACTACTGCAATACTACTACAATACTACTACTACAATACTACTACAATACTACTACTACAATACTACTATAATACTACCACTACAATACTATAATACTACTATAATACTACTATACTACTACAATACTATAATACTACTACTGCAATACTACTACAATACTACTACTACAATACTACTATAATACTACCACTACAATACTATAATACTACTATAATACTACTATACTACTACAATACTACTACAATACTACTACAATACTATAATACTACTACAATACTACTATAATACTACTATAATACTACTACAATACTATAATACTACTACTACAATACTAGAATACTACTACAATACTACTATAATACTACTATACTACTACAATACTATAATACTACTACAATACTACTACTGCAATACCACTATAATACTACCACTACAATACTAGAATACTACTATAATACTACTATAATACTACTACAATACTATAATACTACTACTTCAATACTAGAATACTACTACAATACTACTATAATACTACTATAATACTACTATACTACTACAATACTACTACTAAAATACTACTATAATACTACTGTAGAGGTGTAATTGCGCATGGCTACGAATGTTGAGGTGTGATTATGCATGGCCACGGATGGCCAACAAACACAAGGGGCGGGGTTACGGCCGTACACAAGGGTGGCGCTAGCACCGACGTCCGCATGTGTATCCCCCACGGGCCCCCCCTCGGGGGCGAGTCCTATAAAAGGTGATGAGCTCGAGGGCTCGAGGTCGGGACTCAGCTTTAACCAGAGAAGACGGAAGACCAGCTAGTGTAGGCCCCAGAGCTCCCCTGGCTCGCTGTCCTTATAAGGGCCGACCAGGGCAAGCCGGTGGCGTGGCCCCGAGAGCCCAGACGAAGCTGGTCTGGTGACTCAGGGAGCCGGGATCCCAGCTTAACCAAGCTGGGACAGATAGCCTCCCCTAGTCCCGTAGTGGAGGAATTGGTATAGGTTAGAGGGGTTAGCTGTCGAGAATCCCTGTAGCCAAGTGACCTGTGATAACTGTGTTGGTGTAATAAATAAGTGTGCCTCCGATCCTGTCGTCAAGCCTCCATATATACTTACTACATCTGGGGTCAGAAGTAAACGTCCAACGATGGACACACGAGGGACGACACGTACCAGGGAGTCGGAGATGGAAGACGCCGCGGCCGAATCACCACCAGAGATGGCCGGGGTCGATTCGGAGCAGCCGGGGCCGAGTACGCCCGCGCCGCTACGACAGGAGGAGGGGGATGCGTCGGCCGAAGGACTCCGGCTGGCCCACTCCCGCCTGGCGGACCTGCTCTACGCCGCGGCCGCCGCGTTGGAGGAGATCACGCGGCTGGGGGCTGGAGGAGCAGCGCGGGTCGACGACGGCAGCCGGCGCGGGGCGACGTTTCCCGCCACCCCGACGCGGCTCGCGGTCAAATTTCTCGCCATATCTACAGTACGAGCGGAGGGCGGGGCCAGCCCGCGTCACGTGTCTGCTGAGCGCCAAGCACAAGCCGTGACATCATCAACGCCGGCCGGCGCGTCAACATCGGAGCGACCGGCGATGCCATGTGCACGGCCCGCCCACACTGTATCATCGGCGGGGAGCGACGGAGAGCGTTCTGCGGCCACGGACGCCGCCTTACAACAGCGTCTGCCGCCTCTTAAAGAATTTGTCGGCGCTGACGGAGATTGGGGCGGCTTCAAGAGGCGGTTCATCGCTCATCAAGAGATGGCGAACTGGTCGGACGCCGAGGCCCTACGCGCGCTGCCAGCGATGCTGGACAACGACGCCCTGGCTACCCTCACCTCGGCGCCGAGGGAAAAGCGCGCCACTCTACACCTGGCGTTGCAGCTGCTGTCAGCCGTCTATGGGCCGCCTTCGGACTGCAGGCAGCTGTTCCACGATCGGAGTCGGGGCGCCAACGAGTCACCCCTGGCCTTCCGGACGGCCCTCCTGGCTCTGGCGAAGGCTGCTTTCCCAAGCTCATTGGGGGCGTAGAGCATGTGGTGGCTTACGGTAGTCGGGTACTGTCTCCAGCCGAACAGCGGTACTGCGTTACCCGTCGGGAATTATTGGCGATTGTTTATTTCATTCAGCAGTACCGCCCGTATCTGTACGGTCGGCGGTTCACCGTCCGTACGGATCATGCGGCCCTACAATACGCCCTGCGGGTTCAACAACCATCGGGCCAGTTGTCTCGATGGTTGGAGATTCTCCAAGACTATGACTTTGTCACCACATATCGTAAGGGTCTCCGCCACACGAACGCTGACGCCCTGTCGCGATTGCCACCCACTTCGGAGTGCGCGTGCCTCTTGGGTTCGGGGCGTTGTAGGTCTCCGAACGTCACCACCGATTCGGTCCTCGTGGCCGCTGCCGATGCGCCTTCGGTTTCGGGTCCTATCGAGCAAGAAGGGAGGGATTCGTTGCTGGGGTTGTCGGTCGCGGAATGGGGTCGCCTCCAAATGGAGGACACCTCCCTCCTCGCTCTGCGCCGTCGCGCCGGGGGGGTTGGCCAGGGGGTGAAAAACGTTGACTCGTGGGGGTTGTTCCAGGGACTTTTAATGCACTGGGATGGTAAAACCCGGCGCCAGCGGCTCGTGGTGCCTGCTGCTTTAAGGGGTAAGGTGGTATGGGCTGTTCATGAGCGGCTTCTGCACTTGGGGGTTCACAAGACCTTTGCCACGCTCCAGCTAGATTTTTTCTGGCCGGGCATGGAAAAGGACGTGGGGGATCTCCTGGGGTCATGCACGCAATGCGCGCAGAGGAAGCCACCTGCTAGGGGGTCCAACCCTCCGCTGCAGTCCATAAAAGTTTCCCGGGTTAACGAGCTCGTCGCTCTGGACATACTTGGCCCATTTCCCGCTACACCCAGGGGCAATAGGTATTTACTAACGGGGGTTGAATACTTCACGAGATGGCCTATGGCCTGGCCCCTGGCGAACCAGTCGGCAGCAGCCATCGCGGAGGCCTTTGTCCAGGGCTATGTCCTCGACAAGGGTGCCCCGGAACGGCTGCTTACTGACCAGGGTAGGAATTTTTCTGGTAAACTCCTACGTGAGGTGTGCGACCTCTTGGGTACGGAGAAGGTTCGGACCTCTCCGTATCACCCACAAACTGACGGGATGGTGGAACGGCTGCATCGGACCATCACGTCCATGCTGTCCCAGCAGGTGTCGGTATCCCAGACGGATTGGGACCTCCGCATAGCCGGTGTGTTGCAGGCCTACAGAATGGCTCCCCATGCGGCCACCGGATTTTCCCCTTTCTTTTTAATGTATGGGCGCGAAGTTAACCCCCCTGTGGCGACCCAGCTGAAGCTCTCGGCGCTCCAGGCGAAGTCTAATTTGTCCGAACACGTTAAATTTAACATCGCTCAATTGTCTGAGGCGCGGGAAGCGGCCGTGCAAAATTCCGAACTCCGCCAGAAGGCGAACGAGAGGCTTCGGTTGGGGCGGGTGCAGGTGGTCAAATGGAAACCAGGGGACAGGGCGTGGTTGCACTGTCCCCAGGTGCCGCTGGCAACCTCGTCAAAATTGGTACGGCCGTGGCGGGGGCCAGTGGAGGTCGTACAGGTCTTGCGGCCGCAATGTGTTCGCGTCAAATGGGGGAGGCGCCGGTGGTATGTGCACCCCTCAAGGTTGAAACCATTCATCGCGCCGCCCCGTGGTTCACACACACACACGCATGGCCAAACGTGTGAGGGTTCCGCCGACTCCCCGACGTTGCTGCACTCGCCTAACCCGACATCAACTGTTCCGTCCCCAGGTGCAACAGGAGTGACGGGTCCACACCCACCAACCCCTCCCGGAGGGGTCGGGGGTCACTCGGCAGCGACGCCTGACTCTCTTGCACCCGGACCGTCAACAACCGTCACTGAGCGTGCCAGGACGGGCCCTTGTGACGGGCCCGCCGCGAGAACGCGCGCCAAAACGCGCAGACTATTGTGAGGTCGGCCGTTGGGGGGCCTTGCGGACAATGGGAGGGGTGGCGTCCGGAGTGTGTGTATATATGTTGGTTTTGGGGTATTTATTCGGGGGGGGTGCGTCGGGTTATTTTTTTCTCTCTCTCTCTCTCTCTTCCTGTTGTTGTTCTTGTTAAGGTTCTCTTGTTCTTGTTAAAAATTACGCGAGGCACACACACGGGGTTTTTGTGAGGGATGCACCTTTATTCTGATTTTTTTTTGCAGCCAGGGACGGCTGCGAGCTGTACAGGGGGGGGGTGATGTAGAGGTGTAATTGCGCATGGCTACGAATGTTGAGGTGTGATTATGCATGGCCACGGATGGCCAACAAACACAAGGGGCGGGGTTACGGCCGTACACAAGGGTGGCGCTAGCACCGACGTCCGCATGTGTATCCCCCACGGGCCCCCCCTCGGGGGCGAGTCCTATAAAAGGTGATGAGCTCGAGGGCTCGAGGTCGGGACTCAGCTTTAACCAGAGAAGACGGAAGACCAGCTAGTGTAGGCCCCAGAGCTCCCCTGGCTCGCTGTCCTTATAAGGGCCGACCAGGGCAAGCCGGTGGCGTGGCCCCGAGAGCCCAGACGAAGCTGGTCTGGTGACTCAGGGAGCCGGGATCCCAGCTTAACCAAGCTGGGACAGATAGCCTCCCCTAGTCCCGTAGTGGAGGAATTGGTATAGGTTAGAGGGGTTAGCTGTTGAGAATCCCTGTAGCCAAGTGACCTGTGATAACTGTGTTGGTGTAATAAATAAGTGTGCCTCCGATCCTGTCGTCAAGCCTCCATATATACTTACTACACTACTATACTACTACAATACTACTACTACAATACTACTACAATACTACTATAATACTACTACAATACTACTACACTACCACTCCAACACTCCACTACAACACTCCACTTCAATACTACTACAATACTACTATAATACTACAATACTACTATAATACTACAATAATACTACAATACTACTATAATACTACTACAATACTACTATAATACTACAATACTACTATAATACTACTACAATACTATAATACTACTACACTAACACTTTTTTTGTGTCTCACTGTGTGGGGGGGGGGGGGGGTTTGTGTCTCACTGTGGGGGGTTGTGTCTCACTGTGGGGGGGGGGGGTTTGTGTCTCACTGTGGGGGGGGGGGGTTGTGTCTCACTGTGGGGGGGGGGGTTGTGTCTCACTGTGGGGGGGGGGTGTCTCACTGTGTGGGGGGTTTGTGTCTCACTGTGGGGGGGGTTTGTGTCTCACTGTGGGGGGGGGGGTTTGTGTCTCACTGTGGGGGGGGGGGGTTGTGTCTCACTGTGGGGGGGGGGGTTTGTGTCTCACTGTGAGGGGGGGGGTTTGTGTCTCACTGGGGGGGGGGGGTTTGTGTCTCACTGTGAGGGGGGGGGTTGTGTCTCACTGTGGGGGGGGGTTTGTGTCTCACTGTGGGGGGGGGGGGTTTGTGTCTCACTGTGGGGGGGGGGTTTGTGTCTCACTGTGGGGGGGGGGTTTGTGTCTCACTGTGGGGGGGGTTGTGTCTCACTGTGGGGGGGGTTTGTGTCTCACTGTGGGGGGGGTTGTGTCTCACTGTGGGGGGGGGGGGTTGTCTCTCACTGTGGGGGGGGGTTTGTGTCTCACTGTGGGGGGGGGGGGTTGTGTCTCACTGGGGGGGGGGGGGTTGTGTCTCACTGGGGGGGGGTTTGTGTCTCACTGTGGGGGGGGGTTTGTGTCTCACTGGGGGGGGGGGGTTGTGTCTCACTGTGTGGGGGGGGGGGGGTTGTGTCTCACTGTGGGGGGGGGGTGTGTCTCACTGGGGGGGGGGGGTTGTGTCTCACTGTGTGGGGGGGGGTTTGTGTCTCACTGTGGGGGGGGGTTTGTGTCTCACTGGGGGGGGGGGGATTTGGTCTCACTGGGGGGGGGGGGGTTGGTCTCACTTTGGGGTGGGGGGGTTGTGTGGTCTCACTGTGGGGGGGGGTTTGTTTGTGTCTCACTGTGGGGTGGGGGTTTTGTGTTCTCACTGGTGGGGGGGGGTTTGTGTCGCACTTGTGGGGGGGGGGGTTTGTTGTGTCTCACTGTGTGGGGGGGGGGGGGTTGGTCTCACTGTGGGGGGGGGGTTTGTGTCTCACTGTGGGGGGGGGGGTATTGTGTCTCCACTGTGGGGGGGGGGGTATTGTGTCTCCACTGTGGGGGGGGGGGTTTTGGGTCTCCACTTTGGGGGGGGGGGGTTGTGTCTCACTGTGGGGGGGGGGTTGTGTCACTGTGGTGGGGGGGTTTGTGTCTCACTGTGGGGGGGGGGTGTTTGTGTCTCATGGGGGGGGGGGGTTGTGTTCACTTGGTGGGGGGGGTTTGTGTCTCACTGTGGGGGGGGGGTGTGTTTGTGTATCCACTGGGGGGCGGGGTTGTGTCTCACTGGGGGGGGGAGTTTGTGTCTCACTGGGGGGGGGGGGGGGGTTGTGTCTCACTGGGGGGGGGGTTGTGTCTCACTGGGGGGGGGTTTGTGTCTCACTGGGGGGGGGGGGTTGTGTCTCACTGTGGGGGGGGGGGTTTGTGTCTCACTGTGGGGGGGGGTTTGTGTCTCACTGTGGGGGGGGGGTTTGTGTCTCACTGTGGGGGGGGTTTGTGTCTCACTGTGGGGGGGGGGGTTGTGTCTCACTGGCGGGGGGGGGGGGTTGTGTCTCACTGTGGGGGGGTTGTGTCTCACTGTGTAGGGGGGGGGTTGTGTCTCACTGTGGGGGGGGGTTTGTGTCTCACTGTGGGGGGGGGGGGTGTTTGTGTCTCACTGTGGGGGGGGGGTTGTGTTTCACTGTGGGGGGGCGGGGGTGTGTCTCACTGTGGGGGGGGGGGTGTGTCTCACTGTGGGGGGGGGTGTGTCTCACTGTGGGGGGGGGGGGGTGTCTCACTGTGGGGGGGGGTTTGTGTCTCACTGTGGGGGGGGGGGGGGTTTGTGTCTCACTGGGGGGGGGGGGGTTTGTGTCTCAACTGGGGGGGGGGGTGTCTCACTGTGGGGGGGGGTTTGTGTCTCACTGTGGGGGGGGGGTTTGTGTCTCACTGTGGGGGGGGGGGTTTGTGTCTCACTGTGGGGGGGGGGGGTTGTGTCTCACTGTGGGGGGGGGGTTTGTGTCTCACTGTGGGGGGGGGGGGGGTTTGTGTCTCACTGGGGGGGGGGGGTGTGTCTCACTGTGGGGAGGGGGTGTGTCTCACTGTGGGGGGGGGGGTGTTTGTGTCTCACTGTGGGGGGGGGGGGGTGTGTCTCACTGTGGGGGGGGGGGGTGTGTCTCACTGTGGGGGGGGGGTGTGTCTCACTGTGGGGGGGGGGGTTGTGTCTCACTGTGGGGGGGGGGGGGTAACGTGCTGCGCGACTACGGACCTGGCGAGCTGAGTGATTCCCACTGTCGGTCGACACCGGCGACGATTCTTACTGAACCGCTCCAGGGCCTCCCCCGAGCTCGACTCGGTGAGTACCTGGTGTCGTGTCAGCATCGCCACTAAGGGAGACAAAGGCGGCCGGGCGTGGTGGTGGCTACTCACCCCCTTGTGTGCCGTGGCCGGCCTGCATCGGTGCTCGCTAACAGCACTTGCCCCAAAAGTCTGTTCAGGCTATATGAGGGATCTTTGTCTTAAGGGGGTGCGGTCACATTTGGGGGGCTACCTCCCCCTTTGAGCGGTGACAGAGACATTCGGGGTCTTAAATAACATTCCCTTAGACATTGGCGTAGAACAGCAAGAGTCTTCGATTTAAGCGAAAACGTGTATTCTAGGGGAAAAACTCCTGCTCAAATAAGATCTAAAATACATAAAAATGTTACATTTATAAATGACATTTTTATTTAGTTTATCCCCCCGTCAATCCATCTGAACCGACCAGCGTGGTGAAGTATGGCCGAACACCCCCCCCCCCCAACTCTGAACCACGTGAGACTTTATTTCACGTTTAAATGAGAAGGGTGTCCAAGTGTACAATCGGTACAAACGTGTTCAAAGTCAGTAATTGGACATTTACAACGCATAGCATTTTAATCAATTCACGTGGATTAACTGTGATATGTATCTCCGCGGAGACATTGAACAAATTTAAGCTAAATGCACACGTGAACGCCTTCCTAATGGCTGTCATTTTCGACTGGATTGGTTTTGTCTAAACGCGGCGTAATGAAGGGCCGCCGTTTAACTCACGGCCACTGACAAACGTTCACTGATGTAATGAGTGCAAATTCAAGTTGCCCGGTTGGTAGAACAGGGCCAATGACAAAATACGTCGGGTGAGAAAATACCCCCCCCCCCCATCATCATCATCACGTGTGTTCAAATATAAGAATACGCCAAGAGAATCTGAAAGCATTTACAAATTACAGTAGGGAACGTTTTTTAAAACCTCTCTCTGAAATGTGGTGCCAGACAGAAACCAGGGCCAGTTTGGCTAAATCCAGTTCGTGGTTGAAGGATTTCTCGGCGGTTGTTATCACGTGGTTGCCGAAACCACAAACACGACACTGTTCCTGCGCTAAGCAGGATTTTTAGGATTCTTACGATTTTCAAACGAGACATCGCTGCGCGCACACACAAACACACGAAGAAGATGAAGACGTTGCCACTCGTTTATTTTTTTTGTAAAATACAACATTAGGACGATGCTGTCGACAAAAAAATCAATTTAATAAAATACTGCTTAAAATTTTCATGCCAAGTCATACAAACTTGAGAACATTTAAATCACCTAAGATTGTTCATTTAGAGCGCAGATTTTTTAAAAGTTTTTTTTACAAATATGTACTCCACAACAAAACAAAACTGGCCTTAAAAACACATTTTTTTTATTAACAGTTACATCGATCTGTTTATTAAGACGAGCACAACAACAGTTATGGTCATAAACGTGCCATCATCATCTCTCCCATGACCTCAAAACGTCACTTTTACAAAATGGTCCCAAAAAGCAGACGAAAAATCAGCACATATACAGGATAGCCCATACTTTACAACGGTGTACAGTATGTATTCATATGCACGAGGCATGTAGAATAATTTTGATCGGGTGGGGGTGGTGTGTGTGTGTGCGCCATCTCGCTTCTCGTTTTCTAAAGCGAAACGCGGTTCCGCAAAGCAACTACCGATAGGGGTGGGGATGGTGGGGAGGGTGGGGGGTGCCGGGTTTACTGGGTCGTGTCCCAAGGGCCCACCGGCTACCCCCCCCAACCCCCGCGTAAAAAAAAAGATGCCCATAAGGGCATTATCTAATTTTACGGCGAAGACACGTTGGGTTTCATAAATCACAAGAGTGACACGGGGAACGACCATTTAAACAAGGTTCTGGCGGCGGTGGTGGGGGGGGGGGGCGGCAAAAGTAGGGCACACATCATCGAGGAATGAATAAACAGGAGGGGGGGGAGCGCACGGGTGGAATAACGGTGACCGCCGCCCGTGTGTTCTTCCTATCCACGTGTGAGCCCACTGAGAGAGATCTCTCTTGCAACTAAGACCTGAGTATTAGGGAATTGTGGATATTTTAGTTTTGTTTTTGTACCAGCAGGGCGTCTAGGGAGTCAATGGGCTCACAAGGAAGTATCCTTCATGGCAACGACAAACCACGAGACCGGAGCACGTGGGGGGTACGGGGAGAACGCGGAGAGTAAGAGGGGAGCACAGGCACACGGACAGCGAGGCAGGTGGCCTCATCCAAACTCAATAAATGCACAGGGGAGACTTAAGACGACACACGTTACAAAAGAAAAACGTCGACGCTGCCGGTGGAGGCTTTTTATAAATTATTATGGGGCTCTCAGACACTCGTTCTCATTCCACCAGTCCAAATTGATCCATTTCCTGACAATCTCCACGTAACAATGTAGTAAGCATACTGTGTTGGCATATAACCAAATCACCTGGAACGCATGCCATCTCATCAGCTCAAAGAAGCTCAGCGAGGATGGATTGGCAATCGCCAAGCCAACACACGGGTGTGTTCAGGCACTGGGCAGCAGAGGGCAGTGCGTCAAAATACATTGTTGAACTGCATTTCTAAGCTCCCTGCCTTCGCACACTGGAACTGACGAGCGAGGTGAAGTATGGTCAAATTACCTCCATTGCTTGCGTGGCGTAGGGAGGCAATCATCTAGTGGACAGACAAAAGGGGCTGTATATGTACACACTATGCCCACTTGTTGTTTTAGGAATTAAAAAAATGTGGACTGCTTGCTGTACTGTATGAGAACTAGGACCACAGAGATCCATTCTGCGTCATCATGGGCCCCACACATCTGCCACCGACGCCACCGACACCACCACAGAGCAAACTGCCTCCGAGAGACGGGCGGGTGCCCCTCCGTGCACGCTCGAGTGCACGTGACCTCTGGGGCGTCTACTCCACTTTCTCGTCCTTGTGCCGCCACGGGTAGATTAGGTCGCCGGCGCACAGCTTGCCAAGCAGTGACAGCCACGAGTGCTGCGCCGAGCTGCTGTACGTCGGCAGGCGGTACCGCCGCAGGACACTCATCAGTGACACTGGCTGGATCTGCGAGCACACAAAAAGGTGCGGTGTTTAAATGAGCGGTGCGGGGATCGGTGTTAGGTCTAAACAAGAACGCATGGGGGTGGTACTGCAACCAACACTGACGGAGCAGGAATAACGAGGGGTGGGTGAACCCCAACCATCGTACTTGGACCCTCAAAACACACACTTCGGTCGCTGAAGAATCTCCCGGCGTGCGGAGGGAAACACCGAACAGCAGGCCAAAACAACACGCGGCAAAAGCCCGGCAACAAGACGCGAAGCTACGCTGTGAAAAATTAAGTAAAATAGATCAAGCTGAACATTTCAGCAGTTATTTTGGAGATGATCAGTTTTCAAAACGTGACTTGAGTGTTTTCAGTTGGAAAAATGTGCAACAGAGTTCGAGGTTCAAGAGTGGTTACTCGCTTTGGCAAATGCTGCACCGCTGGGTCGCAAACAAAACTTGAAATTCTACTTCAGAAAAGTGATAATTATGCCCTTATGTTCTTTAGATTATCATAGCCTCCAGACAGGGGTGTTGTGTATTAAATACCCACCCACTGAGCTAATCCAGTGCAGTTAGAGAAATCAACAAAATGAACCAGACAGCCACTACTACGATCTGCAATAATCTAAAGAACATAAGAATTAACCTCAATTTAAAGATGGAGTCACCCCCCACCTCCCGCACTGTACAGGCTTAGTGGGGTGGGTGTGTGGTGCTTACGCACACACTGCAGAGACGAGATGAATTCCAACCCTGTGTTTCAGAGTGCCCACTTTGAGGTGTGGTTAAGAGTCATTTACCACATAGAGGAGGAAAAAAAACACAACAACCATTCAGTGTTGCCAAAAACACGGCCGGGACTTTTTGTAAAGTACGGAGGGGATCGTTGCTTTCCTAACTGAAAGGGATTCGATCTGTGCCTCATAGGGGTGTAACCAAAGCGTGCAAAAAATGTGTAAACATTTTGGAAGACACATTCAAATGGTATAACCATGAAAGAAAAGACGCGTGACCCAGTTTACCTGCATGTCCAGATGCAGAATCCTGCTCGAGTTCTGTTCCAGAACCTCCATCGTGATACCGTCTGATGAAAGCCAAAAGTATTTGGTTAATATATTTTATTGCTCAGCCTGTCTGCTCTAGCCAATAACTACTCCAGCCTGCTTTTGCATAAGGTGGCAATCATTGCATGAAAAGGAATGGCAATTAAAATGCTTCACCACCCCAAGTCTTACTTGTAAAATATTTCAATGGTCAATCGCTCAGTTCTGAAGCATGCGACGGATTCAACAGAGTCGGTGCATTATCTTGCTCAATCCAGAGCTCGGCTCGGAGATGCAGGCTACTTGTCCAGGCAGCGCACATCTCCCGGCTGTTTTTAAACTCTTCTGGCCTCTTCTGGCCACAGGGCATATTTTGTGTTTCCTTGCCACAGTCGACTGCGCCGTGGTAATGCGCACATGCATTCTGCATTGGTGCCATAATGCATTGATTCAGTGAACAAAATGCATTCTCACGCTCACGATATGTGTGCATCTATTCATGCCTGCGATAATGTTATAATGGGTCCATGTGACTCCTGCTGGCACTAGAGGCGCTACATTAACCACCAATTTAAAAACATATAAAAGTTTATTGAATCAATTCACAACCCTAAATCGTGACAAATCATCAAATTGCAAGATGGCTGAATCGTTATAGGCCTCGTATCCTGTTCATATCATCACTCATTATCCATTCACTGCTCGATTAAGACCATCGCGACACGCCTACGATTAGCACGGTTGGCTACGCACGGTCCTAAGATGCGACAATCCATATAGCTCCTGCACGTGAGCTGGTGTCATCGCTCCATCTACACGCGTGCGCTCACTCCTTCGGCTGCCACTCTGTCATTAGTCTTGACCATCGAACATCACCCCATTGAGAGACGTGGCCACTTTTCACAACATTCAATACGATTGCTATAACTTGTGTATGCAATATGCACACAGATACATCACACTGTTAATTCCACTTTTTTTTATTAGAGCTGTTTAGCTATTTCTCCCAATGACTGTTTATTCCCATATACTCCCAGCTGTGCTAGCCCTGTCGTGTTGCAAAATGAAGAGATTTCCATGCAGATCTCTCTAGTGTGGGCGCCACGGAGGCGAGATGTTAACTGCTTCGTCTGGTATACAGTAGGTCGTAGGGTTTGATCCCAACCCTGATGCCTATATATTTGGAATTTGCATGTTCTCCCCGTGGATGCGTGGATTTTTCTCCAGATCCTCCGGTTTTTCTGTCCACATTTAAAATCAACATGCGTTTATAGTATTTGGTTGCTATAAATTTTCACTCCATAAGCCACTTCGTTGAGCTATCATTTGTGATAGCCAGGTCGTTTCTGAAAAGGAGCGAGGTAGCTCAGTGGGCCTTACCTGGCGAAATAAAAAATAGTTAAGAGTTTAGTTTGAGGGCAGCGTAACAACGTTGTTGTGTCTTTAAATGACGACGGAAGACGATGTCAGGGAAATTTCTCCCAGTCGCCCAATTTCTCTCAAGCACACCAGGGGGCGCCACCCTGTTCATGAGAGTATTCAACGCAATAAATTCTGAACGTTGTAGAAGTGACGCCAGTCATACTATTTACTTGTGCAGTCATTGTTGATCAGGCCAAGGCCCTCAACTTGCCACACTTGACAGCACAGTTTCATCACGGGTGAAAGCCTGCATTCAAATCCAGGATCTGAGCTTAACCGTCCACAATGCTGCGACAGAGGAATTATGAGCGCTTAAGCCACCCAATACATCTCGTATTGTCCATCTGTAAAACATCTTGGTGTACAATTTATTAAAGGCAAATTACATTTAAATACCCAGTATAACCTCTTTGAAGTATGCATGAAGCGAAATGAAAGCTAATTTAAAAAAAACGACTCGATAAGCCAATAGCATAGGACACACCTAGGGACACCGATTCCAAACCTAATTACGCATTGCCATCAGTAAGCAGCTACGCAAGGATAAGGTCAACACAGATGAGCTTCTGCGCCCGTCTGGAACGCTCTTCCTTCCAATATTATGAAACCACTCGGAGCTATGCACTTTTAAATCATCGAGATTGAAAACGAATTTCTTTCTAACAGATTTTTGCGTTTAGTTTGTTGTCCTTCCACCGCACCTCCGATTAGTGCGGTTGGCTACCTACAGTGCGAAAGAAGGTCAACATACATACAACACAGATTTTTTTGGTCAGGATCACAACTCAGTAACTGTGGTCGCAAGTAGGACTGTAATGATTCTCCCCACTTAATATTCGTGATGATTTGTGGCCATAACCATTTCAGTTTATTCACGTTCATATTATTATCATTTGTCTTGGGAATAGTATTGGTGCGACTGGTATTAAAACTGTGAAGAAAAGCAAATGGGCTTGAGCAGGACACGTTGCAGTAAGGGATGATTGCCGATGGACAAGCATAGTGGCCGAGTTTGTATTGGTAAAACTTGACCGAGTTGTAGAGGGCAAGGCCTAACAAGGCTTCAGGTCACTCGTTCAATAACTCTGCAATTTTACGCACGAGTGTAGTCGAGAGAAGGGGGTTTACCCTGCCGGTAGGACACTCTGGCGCTGTCTAGCGTGAAATAACCACACGAGGCGCTGTCGGTCGTTCACCAGCGAGACGCGTACCTGCCAAGCGGTAGCCCCGGCAGATTCGGAGTCCCAGCGCGAAGGTGGGGACCGAATTGATGAGCTCCACCAGCTGGTGCAGGGCGCCCTGGGCTAACACCACCGCCAGACGCAGCTGCCACGTGTGCACAGGGCGGGGTGGAGGAAAGAGACGGAGGAAGAGAGGTGGGATAGGAAGGATGGAGCGCGAGGGAGGCAAATTGAGATGGAGGAAGGCGGGGAGAAGGCACGGAAGGGCACCGAGAAAGAGCAAGCAGGGTAAGAAGGGTGTAGAAAAATAGCGATAGTGGTGACAGAAAGAATGAAAGAAAACACAAACGTTTGAGTTGCGGGGAAACACACGCAGATTAATGTTAATCATAATAATTCACAGCCCCTTGTCAATCTACTGCTGGATGAAGACCTCACCATTCCACGTGGGTCACGAGGGTTATATGACCATACTTCACCGTACTGGTTAGTCTATATTGGCGAGGGGTGGGGGGAGCCCAGAACCAGTTCAGACACACTCGAACTGATGTTAGCCACGTTTGGGAATCGAGCTCAGGTTCATGGGTTTAAAGCACTGTGCACAAAGCACTTCGTCACCGCTCACTGTGTACTATAAATTAAAATTCCAAAGTACACACCTTACAAAAATGTACTATGCATTAATGAGACCACGAGTGTGACCATTTGGTTATCATGAGCGCACTAGGTGAGCAAAGGCAGATATCCGAGTCAGGAAAAGCCCAAACCAGCCGCAGTGGACAATTACAACTGCAGATCGAGCGGCGAGAATTGAACCCGAGGGCACTCGGCAGCCAGCCCTGGCCACACCCTCAACTGCTCGCCCTGCACGGCCAGAAGGGTGCACACGCGAAGAGGGAGAGGGGCCTCACCAGCGAGAAGACGAGGTAATAAAGCGCCACCGTGGGCAGCAGGAACAGGAGGATTGTGAAGAGCAGGGTACCCAGGAAGAGCTGCACGGACAGAAAAGTGTGAGAAGTCTGTCTTTCTGGCATGTGCTCTATTAATATAAACGAAACAATTTATTTTATCATATAGCTCTTTTTCAGACGTGACCTGGCTATCACAAATGATAGCTCAACAAAGTGGCTTATCATCACGAGGACATAGTGGCCAAATACTTAAAATGCGTGATGTTGATTCTAAAATGTGGAGGGAAAAACCAGAGGACCCGGAGAAAAATCCATGCAACCACGGGGAGAGAGACCCGCAAACTCCAAATATACAGGAGTCAGGGTCAGGATAGAACCCAAGACCTCCTGTATACCAGGCGAGGCAGTTAACATCTCGCCACCGTGGCACCCACACTAGACATATGGGCACATTACTGTTATGTCCATAGGTTAAAAGTATACAAACATCTTTTCAATTGAAATTCACTTGCGTAGGGATATTAAATTACTGGTAGTCTACATTCACGCGGTTGGGGGCAGGATTCTCAATAGAGTAACCAATCCTGCAAAGTAGCACTCATTTTAACTCCCCTAGTGTATGGGTCACATTGATCTCAGACTTGGATGTGAACCCACATTCTTCTGATTGGCAGGCAAGTTGCCCACACCACAGCCCCACCCAGGACGATTACACCAAATACAGCGACTTGGGACAAATTAACCCTTGCACGTTCGGAGATGTTTGCAAGTTGCAGGGTGGGGCACCGTTCACCGTTGAATCTCGGAACGCGCGAGCGGCTCAGAGTTAATTTTATTTAGAGGCGTAGCAGCGCCGTTGTTTTGTACAATGTACTGTGCTCACCGCAGAGAACCGTAGCGACACGACCGCACTCTATGATAGCTGGCGCCAAACCGTGCCACACTCCCTCCCGCATGGCCTTGTGGGAGGATCGGTACCAATAAAGTTATTTTATTTTAGTATTTTTTCCGGTTTCGTTTTGGTGGCGTACACGTACGAATGGCAGAAGGGTTAACATAATCCCCAGATTGTGGCAACAGAGTGCGGATCCGCAAGGCTGGTGTAATTCTACAGGAAAGCAATGAATGCGGCACACGAAGTAAAAACGGACAGACGGACGTTGTCCCCTGGCCGAGCCCGACCTGATCGACGTCATAGGAGCACGAGTCGACGCGGCGTCGCAACACGTTCCACTTCTTGCCTCGGAACAGCCTCCAGAGGGAGGTGAGGCCGTACACCATGAGCTTGTAAAGCCTGGAGACCGACACATGCAGACGACGCAAAACAATGTCCCTCAAACGATTATGACCGCAAACCCTTGTGGCACGGACGGCTACGTACGGTGCAAAAGAAGTTCAACGTACATCTCAGCACCATGGGCGTGTGCACAGAAAAGTTACTCTCTAAAAAAGAGGGGCTTTACAAACAGAGCATTTCACATATCAATAGTAGTGGTAGGATAATGATGATTATCAAAGTATCTTCCAATAAATCAACAGTATCATGATGTCACTTAAAACATAATCTTGCCATCCACCAATAGGTATTTCTAGAGAGAAATCACCAAACCGGTCTCTCCATTAAGACTGTTTCCCACCATCTCCTGGTCAGGTCACACACGGCTTTAGGGAAGGGGAACCCCATTTGCTTGATGTCCGGTTTATTGCCCAACCGAGTAAGAACTTTTGGTTAATGAGCCATAAGTGTGAAGACGTCTAAATAGACCAATCTCGGGTCGGATTATACTGCTTGCTGCCGATGGAACGAGGCCACGTTGAGAGAATTTACGGGCACAGAATGTATCCCAGCTAGTCGTGCGCTTTCAATTCCTAACCTTGGTACCGTGTTAATAGTTGTGGACAATACTTATTTTTTCGTATGAGAACAGGTGATAAAAAAGCATCTGTTTAACTCAAACATTTCTTGTGATTGGAAAGCAAAGATCTGTGGGTACAGACTCCTCGAGTGTGACGTTACCTCGTCGCCATACTCATGACGTTAGTAACAGCATCGGTGTAACACTACCAATAACCACAATCTGTTAAACCTGTGAACAGGCACATCATTCATCAAAGTGCCAAGTGCTCCCTTACTACTGCCAATGATACAAGGAACGAGGCCACATACATACGGGTCATTAAGTATCAATACAACAGACCCCTATCTGTCCGAGCGCATTGACCGACTGTAAACAGGCAGGCAGGGGACAGCGAGACATGCAGACGGGCGGACAGGCAGATGACGGACAAGACGGTCAGTCGGACGAGGCGGCTACGTAGCCGCGCAGGCCGCGTGCGGTTAGAACACCTGGCGGCGTAGACGTAGAAGCAGTAGATGTGGAAGGTGAGCAGCGAGAGAATGTCAGACGCCACGGAGAGCAGGATGGAGGCGCCCAGGCAGGCAGAGAGCCCAGCGTGCCACAGCACAGGCCGCACCAGCGGCGCCAGCACTGACAGGTAGCCTGCGCACGCGCGCCGCCCAACGACACGTCCGTGCAGGGTGCGGCTCAAGAGTGTCTAGCAGGAACCACTGAACGCCGCTGAGAAAGCCGATGGGACTGTCTGTAACTCTCCAGCAAGCATTACAAGTTAATAACGTATGGTGTGTAGAGCCGGAAGGCATGGGAAGTGGAAGTTGTGTGTGACGGGGGTGGCTTAGAGGGTGGGGAGGGGGTCAGAGTAGCTGCTCCACACCTGTGAGCGGCACGGAAGGTGCATCATAGAAGAAACCCAGAGGTTTTAGCCAATGACAATTTGACCTAATTGTACATTAGCTCGTTATTCGCGAGGGACACGTTCCGGAGATGCTCGTGAATAGCACATATTGCAGGTAATGATACTCGCCTACGCAAACCTATCTTTTTAATGAATTACCTTAAATAAATACGCTTTTAAATCATCATGGGACCTCCCCTTTGCCAGTACCAAAATATGAGAATAGGTTTTCCCCCTTTTTTCTGGCAACAAACAGGTGTTAAGATGTTAGAACACCAAACTGAAACCTTTCACAATGAATCATGTCTGCATTAACCACAATACTTGTGGTCGGAATGCAAACAAAAACACACTCTGATAATAGATGCATTGTCTTTGAAACTGATTGGTCCACACCAGAGACAGCTTTCTTTCGAGCCTCGTCTCAAACGCTGTGAGATGCCAAAAGGCGTCCTCTGGTCTAAGTAAATACAAATAAATATTAAAGTATACATTTTTTAAAATAAATTAATTAAATTATGTTTGCGCATTACCACTTTCACGCATCGCATTCTCTCTCATCACTTTATCTCGTCACTTTATCTCTCAATGCAGTCGTGTAGAATTCCAGATGCGATTCGCGGATAGCCAAAATCGCGGATTGCGAGTTCGTGAATGACGAGGGAATGCCGTAGAATAATCAAGAGTGTGAGAGGGGGCAATTCACACCCGGCGTGCACACACTCGGCACAACGCCTTCTGTTCTCAGTGTTTACAGCGACGTCTCTATTCATTAATGTTAATTCTACATTGTCGTGGTGGGGCCCAGAGTCTACGTGTGTGCTGCCACTCACTGAGCCAGAGGTGGATGTGGTAGAGGAAGAATCTTCCGAGCGTTTGGTCGAGTGCGTTGTTCAACTTGAGGCCAGCAGGAACTCCCATGAGCCACTGCAGTAGGCTGCGTAGCTCCGACGCAACATTCTGGGCAAAGGTTGCCGCCTTTTTGTATTAAAAGTTTTTTACATTTCCTGTGAACTAATATTTACTGCCAAACTGCTCAAACGAAAGAAAACAACACACTTAAGGACATAAAACAAATTCAATGTTTTCTTAATGTTTTCGATACTTCCCTTGAGGTGTAGCAGGAATTTAAAATGTGGTAAATACATTGAGAACTTATTCAGCAAGAGCACAGAGCAGAACTAATTTACCATGCAGTTCATTCCTTTGGCCAAATCCCAAATGTTACACCTTTAGGAGTGTGAGGTATTTGCCATTTTATTTATAAGCAACATATCATTCTTGAATTGAAGGCTAACGTTTTGAGGTGGAGCAGTAGTGCAGCAGTTAATGCACTGCCCTGTGAGCCTGGTGACCCGAATTGAATTTCCAGTCACGGCCAACACGAGTGGCAAGTGACACACGAACCAGTTCTGTGTCCACCAACCCCCCTACTGCCCCATATCACCAAACTTGCACTCACCCGTGTGGTGAAGTGAGGTAAAACAACTCCCATGACAGATAAATAGAGGGGGAGGCATTCACGCAGGAATGGATCATGAAAGGTCTACGAAATTAGTATTAAATATTACATAGATATTGAAGAGACCCCCCCCCCCCCCGTTTTAAACAGGGCTCTTACAACAGCGGCAACGGAAGAAAATAAACACGTTTAATGCGTGTCACGCACGTGAGGGCCGGGCCGGCCCACGGGGTCGTTGTCACCCGAGCGGCTGACGGGAAGCCTCACCTCCGCAAGGGGCAGAAGGGCATCGGCGATGAGTGAAATGCGGTCCTCCCGGTACAGCAGGGACACGATGAACAGGCCCAGCGCAGTGTCGATCAGCAGGGAGCACAGCACGTTGGCTTTTCTGTTCGCATTGGGGCGGCAAGCATCCCCGAACCCAACGTGGACAATTTATCCCACGAGGTCAACGGCGCATCGCAGCGATTTTCCACCGGGGACGAGGGGGCGCGTCCCTGGCGCGGGATCACTCGCGGCTCCGATTGTCCATGCGGTGGTCACATACGACGGGGTACCCACTGCGCACCCGATCATGAGTCGCAGGGCAGGGCAATGCCACAATAAATAAACCTGCAACAGCCTAACCAGTTAAATAGATCACCATTGACAAAGCATTCATAATTTGTCCAGTTAGAGGAATAAATTTGATTACATTTGTGCTAATTTCAGCTTTCTAGCGACTATCAAAACATCATGAGAATGTACATCTGCGCTCGATTATGTATTAGATTTGAGGATTTCAATAGCTCAGAGAGGGATCATTTATAATCCATTAAGCGCCACATAAAAACATGATTTCACGATGGCATCTGTTAGCATATTATATAGGACATTCATATAAGATGATCATTTTATTATATAACACTACTAATGGCAAGCAATGGGGCATCGATGAAGGACCTCAATGAAGTGAGGCGAGGATAGAATTGCACTGAGAAGCAGGAATGCATGGATCAGTGGACATACGAAAGGTAGAGACTCCGTACGGCCTCCTAGAGAAGTGGGCTTGAGCAGGGCGCGTTGCGATGAAGGGACGATGGCCGATGGTCGAGACTACCGGTGGGGAGTGGCAACCGAAGGAGGGAACGTGCCCCGAGAATACATCCACCGCAGCAGAGATGGAGCAGTGAGATCAGTTGCGGGTACTGGATGGCTGATTACATCACAAGACGGTGAGATGGTGACGCCTGGGAGAGGCCTTCATCCAACAGTGGATTGACCATGGCTCATGATAATGTGGGGGCGATTCGAACAACAAACGCAAAACAGAGCAAACGAGAGACGCCCGTGCTGCACGGCAACAGGAGCTGCAGCGCGAGGAAGAACTGCGACGAAGCTGGCGCCACGCTGCGCTCAGGAGTTCCACCCCGTCCCGAGCTTCACCTCATGAAGGAGACGTGAGTGTCGGCCCTCTCGGTGCTGAAGACCTCCCGCAGGTGTGCGAGGCGGTGCCGCACCTGCAGACTCATGGAGAGCTTCTCCCACAGCCAGGACAGGGGCCAGAACCAGAACATCCTGCGAACACAAGATACAAACGCGTAAACCAACGTGACGAGGACACGGGCCAATGCAAGGGTGAACACAATTGACTTGCTTTACTGTCAAGTAATAACTACAAGATTCACCAATCCTGCAGGCCTCCACGGTTCATCAGTCATTTGGTGGTCTGTGCTGTAACATTTCTCGGATTGGCTAAGGCTACTCTAAGCGTCTGACGAGAAATTGACTTCTCATTTTGTAACATCCGCCGATAGGGGCGTTCACACGTTCCGATAAACACGCTGTATAATACAAACACACCACTTATTTCTGAAATCGATTTTCAAGTCACCAAAGTGTTAATTATGCGATATAACAAGTGGAGGTAACAGGTGTTTAATTCTCCCATGAGTGGGTTAACAAAGGGGTGATTATTTAGATAGTTTTTCTGCTATAAATGGCCATTTTGTTGAGCTATCATTTGTGGCCAGGTCGCTTCTGATAAAAAGGCTAATAGCTCAGTAAGATAAAAAATATTTGTAGTTTTGTCAGTGATGCGTTTAACTTTCCTATGCTTTGCACTCCGATCGTGTTTGCGTATTGTTTTGTTGCTGTAACAATCTGACCTGCCCCTACTGGACATCTGGAAAAAAGAGCTTTATAGCTCTCATCGGATTCCTGCCATGTAAATAAATATCCCAATTCCGATTCTGAAGCGGGAGGGGGGGTGCCTACGCGGCGCACAGACCTGCTCCCAAACACAGAGGCG